AACACGGTAAGTCGCTTATATCATACTATTAACCATAGTAGTAAATTAAATAGAGCTTTTTTATAGGCTGAGCTGTTGCTCTACTTGGCATTGTTTGAATTTGTAAATAAAATATTCCAATAACTCTGAAAATATAAATGTGTCTAGTGTTTATTAGATTTGATGTAAGAATTATCCTGAATAATGATGTCTGTAAATTAGGATTTTAAATTTCACATCAGATTAAAACTTTTGTGTTTCATTTTGTAGACGAGATACATTTAATCATCTAACAACGTGGTTAGAAGATGCTAGACAACATTCTAATAGTAATATGGTCATTATGCTTATAGGTAATAAAAGGTAAGATAAAATTGCTTATATTTAAACAATGCTGTAGGTCTTAACATTGAACATGATATTCTTGTCACTTGGTCCAGAAATATTGTTTGAGGTTAATGATTAGCTTTTCATAGCGAGACCACATAATTAGGTTCATTCTCAACCAGCAAGCTCTGGGAGGTTTAACTTTCGTGGTTACAGCAACAGGCTGGAATTAAAGTTTGGATGATACAATTCAAATAAGTGAAAATGAGTGATTTCGGTATTTCAGTGATTTAGAAGCTAGGAGAGAAGTTAAGAAAGAAGAAGGAGAAGCCTTTGCCAGGGAACATGGATTAATATTTATGGAAACATCTGCAAAAACAGCTGCTAATGTTGAGGAGGTAGGCTATGTAATTTATGCATCAGAATTTTTGTATTTTGATTAAAAGACCCATATTAGAAAATACATGACCAACAGATGTAAACACTTTATTGGTATTGGAGCAGAGAGCAGGCCGACTCTTGAAAGCATTGGCACAGGCAACAGAACTTTTCTTGCCCTGAAGAGGACTCAAACCCAAGGAACCTAATCGCCTAGCAGGCGACAATCTCAGAGTCAAATTGATCTAGACCTACTATTTGTTCAACATGATACTAATTTTTTTTGTAGGCATTTATAAACACAGCTAAAGAAATTTATCAAAAAATTCAAGATGGTGTGTTTGATATTAATAATGAGGTAAGATTTCCATTCCCTTGTTTATTGGTTAGTTTAGCCAGATTCTAGCTCACCATTTTAGATCCACTAGTGTGCTAATATCAAGACCTCTCTGAAGTTTTTGCAATAAATGTTCGGTAGTTGTTCCTTTTAGCAATCATTTCAAATTCTTCTATTTTCCTTAGGCAGTTGTATCAAATTCTTCAACTTTCTTACAGGCAAATGGTATTAAAATAGGCCCACAACATTCTCCAGCAAATCAGAATATTTCTTCACCAGGCGGTGGTTCAAATCAAGGTGGTGGCTGTTGTTGATCTTCTATATTAAAAACTCAGCTAAGGGGGATAATTACTACTTGAACTCTAAATTTTACTCTTCATTGAGTTGTTTTGTGAGAACTAAAAGGACTAATCCTTTGCTGATTTTTATGTAATGATTACCACAAGAAAACAATTTTAAAAAAAGAAACAACAAAAATACATTGTAAATTTTATGTTATTATTCAGTTCTTATATTAATTTTTTTTTTGACTTCTACTAAATCCATTCCATTTTCATCTTGAGTGCTGAACATTAGATTTAGGTATGAATTCATGCATGACACTTCTGGTCATTTGAAACAGGGTGATAAATGCAGGGTGATCAACAACATTTATGAGACTATGAATACATAATGACAAGACTTGACATTTTGACTGCCAAGATTTAAATTTTCGTCTCTTCTCAGCTTTGATAGGCCAGTATGATTTTTTGATCGCAAGAAGGAAACAGACACATGATTATCCAAAAAATGATGAAATGGTCCATTACCTACTTCTATAAATATAAAATTACTTGGTTAACAAGTATTTTAAGTAACTGTGCTATGAGACACTCATAGTTACTGATTATTATTACTGGATAAGGGTGGCTTTACAATGAGTTTATATTTGAGTTTCAACCTATATATTAAAGAATTCATTTTAACAGCATGATAGTTTGAACACATTCAAATATAAATTCAGTCTATTTTTGAGTTCTTATTTAACTATAAATGAAACACAAATAAAAAAAAAATAAACTGTATTTTATTGTGTATAATATATATGTATTATATTAAATATTGTTATTGTGTATTATGTACATGTATCTTAGACTGCAATATACATTGGATAACTTTTACAATTTTCAGTTATTTTCAAAAATTATAAAAAAAAAAACAATAAGAGGGATTTTGTAGGAAAATTGAGAGAAAGATATAAAACTATGCGACAGTAATGAATCAACTGATTTGTATTAGTCATAGGTACATATTGGTACCAATTACTAGATTTGGGAAGTCACTAAATATTATAAACTTTTATTAGAATAATTTGTTGATATTGTTATGTTAAGAGGATTTGTTGTATGTATATTGCAGTCTTTTTTTGGATGTGTTGAAGAGAGGCAGAATTTGAATATTAAAACATTTGTAGTTCTATAAACTCTATGTATTGTCTTTCTTCTTTTCTGGTATTTTGGAAACAACTTATATGCACTGTTAAATACTGCTTAGAATTTCTTCATGTGACTTTCTAGAACTTAGCTATTTTGTACAAATAAATCTAAAAGTATATGAAAGAGAATTTAAAATAAACAAAATTGATGTGATTTATTAACAAATGAAAAGCCTTTTACTTCAATGCACGGAACAATGTTGTCTCATGTTTTGTACACATGTATTCTGAATGTATGTATGATTTCTTTTCTATGTGATATTCAAATTTAGTAGAAATGCAGGGTCACCAGCTCACTCAGTTTCACTACTGACTAAGGCTATAAAATGCTATTTGGAATATTATTTTGATAAACAAAATGATTTACTAGTTAAAAAGAGTTATTCCCCTTTGCCCACTTGGCAGTTTCATGTATTAGGGATACCCATAAAGTTTTGGAATGCTGTATCAGCCAATATTCTGTGACTGGTTATAGATAATTAAATTTAAGTATGTGCATAATGTAATGTTATATATAAACACTATGGAATATTAGAATAACTGGTAATATATTATACAAACAATTGTTAACTATTTCCCTCCTTATTTTTGTTCTATAAACAACAACAGTATGAGTGATAATTATTTAACTATCTTTATTTTTCTTGACAATTCAACTTGTAGAACTTTTTGTTTTTAGTTTTCTTGTGCAATAAAGTTTAAAAACATGTTGGTATTCACTGAACAACAGAGAGAAAGGGAACAAAAGTTAGCAAACACTTTCTCTATGTGTTTTAAACAAGTGTATGCAGATCAATATCTATTCTCCTGCCTGTTGACTAATGAAAAAGCAACCCCCTTGATCATAGAGACATCATGTCCAAAATCAGAAAAGATGAGCTTTTGCCTCCCCACTTGTCCGAAAGGGTCAGAAGTGACCATGCCAGTAGATTTTAATGTAGATCTAGATGATTCATTTTGTGTTCTTGCTGTACAGAACTACACTTGCCATGCGTGATCTGAAGAAATTGTTATGCAACACAATTTTTAGGTCATAACATACAACCAATTAAAAGCTCTGCTCAATAAAACACTACTAAGATATTCCTTTTTGAACATGTTTGGTTTTACTTGACTTGTCAGTCACATGGTGCAGAAAAGTAAGAAGTAAAATTTTTGACTTGTTAAACCGATTTTAACTGGGCCTTAGATTGGTGGGCCTAAGCACAATTTTAAAACTTTAAACCATTTGAATAAGAATTGAGACTTACCGACTTAGAGATAGTAAGCCTACCAGCAGCCAGCTGACAACAATGCTATTAGTTAGCCTAGTCAAGCATCTGGCTATCCATAAAAAATAGGGGATATTCTGCAAGGTCTACCGGTTCAAAAAAAAAAAATGTAACAATAACAAACATGTGAGTGTTAAGAAATTATGCTATTCTGTTATATTGTATTTTGTCGAAACTTGGAAATCGTTGGGAATGATTATTTGGCATTTGTAAATAGCTAGGCTAACGTCTTCGAGTTTTTCAAGGTCAAGAAAGGTCAAACTGAACCTATCTGTGTTGAAAAAGCTTTCAACAGGTGGTAAAACCACAAAAAACATGATATCGTTTAAATAGATCGGATTCAAATCCCTTCAAATTCTCGTGTTTTTTGTCTGTATAGTTAAAAATAGTTTAGTTTGCATACGATTAGCAGACAATTTGTTCCCGCTATGAAATTCGCGCGCAATCGTTGCCATTCGCCGTATCAACCATTAACTATATTTCAGGTATTTCGACCAAGATGAAAAGACGATAACCTGTACAATACCTTCTTAGGCTTATACTCTGATAAAGTGGCCCTATATATTATAACTAGACATAGCCTTTCATAAAGCCTTAACTAGGCAAGAACTGGCCTTTATCACTTCTATTTCAAATGCTCAATTTTAAGCTACTTGTTAAAGAACCGAAACTACAAACAATTTATCTTCGTACATATTACCTTATATTTAAAAGTGTATCACTGAAAAACAAAATACCCCATATGAAATAGCTCCATTCTATAACCTTATATCCGTTCAAAATAGATATTATTTCGCTACGGACTAATAAGTGGGCGTATATTAAAGTAGCTATATATTGCTCTATTGTATAACTGAAGTTTCTTTATTTTGTACCTAGCAATCAACGATTGACATTTTATGAGGATGAGTTACTACTTTTTATTGGGTTAATTCAAAAATGTTCATTATATTAATTTCTTTATCCGAAATTTCAAACGGCGCAAAATTGAAGATATCAACACGAAATCAACAAAGGGTATTTATTTTCTATTCAACAGATGACGCTCGGAGCAAACAAATTTAGCCCCATCATCCGGGTCTTTATCAATATCCTCTCTTTTCATTGGTTAATGGCTAACTAGCGCTGATACACTTCCTCACCACAGTCACATAGTACAGACATTTTCATTGGTTGAAAGGTAGGTCATTTCAAACTGAATAATTTTATATAAAAAATTAAAAAATGATATTTTCAAAATACAAATTATATATTTGGGGATATAAGTATAAATTTTATCGATTATCACTCGAATTTTTAGATGATAATTCCAAATATCAATTTTATCACAATAACATGGACAATTTTCTAGTAATTCAATCAGCCAATCAAAACACGTCTGACAAACAACAAACAAAATATCACACGATGCAAGATGTTGAAGGTTTAGCGGCCTAAAGTCTACAAAATCAACCATTGAATATTTGTTGAAAATTTTGACCACAAGGCAGGTAGGAGATGAATATATAATCTTTCATATCAGTTTAACATATCATTTAGACCATTTTTAAACATCCTGTACAAGGATTGGAAAGTCCTCGACCCTCCCGTGTCCTACTTTCTCTATTCATTCTTGCGATATAATTTCTTCAAAAAGAACGGTCGAAATGGCGTTCAAAGGAAACTTTTTCTATTGTTCACAAATTACTCGATGCATATTTGGGTTATAATGTATAGTGTAGTATATTTATTATATTGAATTAGTCTAAAATAACTCAGATCAGGCTTTGTTTTGATGTCTATGACGTGCACGTGCTGGTGTAAATAGTGTGGTATACCAAAATAACCCCATATCGGTCATTTGATGGCAGCTAGCCGTGTATTGACTGGAGTCTAGGTAATCACTGCCGTCTCATTGACATACTTGAGTGCTTTTGTTTGCTGGCTAACAAAACGATTCACTAATGTTTTATTTCTTTGTCTATTTCTAGCGGGTTTTACAACATCTAACTTTCACTTTCAATAAAAACTTAAATTTTGTAGAGCAGAAATGAAAATCCTTTTTTTTGTAAATTTGGACACCATTTTTGACAGTGAACTTGACTTTGATTGAGGTGTATTTCCTGTTTAAATATAGTTATTCTGTTTATAACTGGTGTTTCTCTGCACTATAAATAGGCCTAGCTAGAAAGTTGATGAGTGGATAAGGCCTATTTCTATTCGGATAAGACCTTAGCAAGGGTGATAGAATTTGTACTCTGATGTGTGAGTGGAAACCGCTGTGATGGTCCATGTTATAGGTGACAATCCAGTCTGCTTTTGCAGGAAGTATCAAGTACTTGACATAATTATGATTTGACTTTATAGTGGTACTGAAATACTGTCCCACAATTTGCAACATTGTTGTACATTTTATGGGATACATTCAATTAATCGAAAGTTTAAGGATCATATCCAATGAATGTCACAATCTTCCACAGACTACGGTTATGAAAAAAATGTTTTATTTGACTGAACAAATTATTGAGCACATCATAAAACTGTTGTATCTTACCACTTCCATTTGTTATATTCCTGAAATGACTAAATTTGAACAGTTGTAAATGCTTAAAATTTAGAAATTTAGATTCTAAAAATCAACTGATGGGGGAACATGACATAACATCAGATTTTAGTCCTGTAAAGTTTCAGTGCCTAAAATGGAGGCAAGTAAAAATTCAGGACTACCAAGCCCAAATATGCCGACCTTAATGGTAGATTAACCGAAATATTGTTAATTTCAGTTCTTATTCAAATGTTACTGATTGCTACAGAAATTGGAAGAAATTGTCCTCAAGTATATAAAGTTTGTATGCTCAGCTTTATGTTATTTCCTTTTCTTTTCAGATGTTTTAACTGGTAGATGATTCTGCTAGTTTACTTCAAGATAAACCGCTATGGAAACTATTGGATGTGAATGAAACATTTTCAACGTCTGTGCTCTGAAGCAATATGGCTGATGAGCCTATGCTGAGTTTATTTGATGCAGATGGAGGTTTTATGGGTGAATTGACAAATTCTTCTGATGGTGGACTAGGAACACAAGAATATAATAGAGGTCTGCCTGCATCAGAGAATGGAATGATGAATCAGGGACTTCCAGGAATGCAGGTACAGAGGACAATGCCTGCACAGCCTGATATGATGATGCATCAGCAACAGTCACAAAATCTTCAAGGCTATCCTCAACATCACAATGTTGCTCAGAATAATTTTAGGGGTATGAATCCTCAAGCTGTGATGATGAATCGTCAGCCATATCCTGGTCAACCAGACGCTTATAATCAATATAATCAGGTTCCTAAGCTCCACCATATGAATGATTCTAACTCTATAATGATGTCCGGGCAGAATCCAAATATAATGGCACAGAATATACGGCAACAAGCTCCCCAACAACAAACGTTTGGAAGCCCTCCCCAAAATTCTTTGATGCCAGGACAACAGCCAGGGTATCATAATTACAATATGTCTCCTAGACCCAGAATGGCTTCTCAAGCGAAACAGATGGGAATGGTTGCAAATAGTCAGTGGCCACCAAATCAACCCCAACAATCCAGTCCTAATCAACAACAGCAGTATATGGCGGCACAGCAGAATCGTCAGCAACAGATGATAGTTGGAAATAACCACATGTCATCTTATCCTCAGCAACATGACTTTAACATGCAACAACAATCTCAACAAAGTGTAGGACATTACCCAAACAATACCCAGCAACCACAGCCCCATTATATGCAAGGGATGAGATCTCCTCCTACTGGAAACAGAATGCCCATGCCAATGAGCCCCAATAATATGAATATGATGGCCCAAATGCAGCAGAGACCTATTAAACCTGCTCAACCCTTTCCCCACTCTCAGGCAGCTACTTCTCAATCTAATATGATGCCGAATTATAACGCCCATCAGACAATACAACAGCCAAGATTTACTGGTGAGTATATGTCTGAAGGACCACAATTAACCCCAGGGACCAATCCCCAAGCTAATCATCAGCACTATTCTTCGTTTTCCGGCAATCAGCATGTGCCAGTTTCCCCTGTGGCGACTGGTATGGGTGATGCCAATGCACTCACGCACTTTACTACTAACCGAAGTCCTAACAGTATGCAGTACCACCAATCATACACCGGTATGGGTCAACCGTTACCAGGTCAACCAGGCCCTCAAGCACCTTCACCACATTCATCATCTGGTTCAACGACACCATCACTGTTAACTAATGTTTCTCAGGGAAATTTTGGACAATCCAGTTTACAACAACTTGAGCAACTTGTTTCACCATCAGTTGGAGGTATTTCTGCTGCTAACCCCTTTCAACAAGTTATGCAAAGCACACCAAACTCCAATCTTAATGTGGCGCCAAAACAAATGATTTATAGTTCCACAAACTTTCAAACTACTACTGTTTCTTCAACAGGCTCTGTGAATGGTACGCCAATTCAGTCTGGAATGTCCATGTCAGGAACTAACGGTCCTGTTAGTGCACCAATTAATACTGATCCTAGTCAACCAATGATGCCAAGTAATCCTAATCATCAGCAGAATGTTAACATGGAAGTTCAGAGGTTACAGCAACAAATTCAGCATCTATATAACATGCCTCAAACACAACAAATACAACAACAAATGCTAGATCTGCAAGAAAAAATGAGAATGCTGAAAGCCCAGCAGCAGCAACACTTCTTACAGATGCAGAAACAACAAATTCAGCCTCGTCCTAATTTAGTTGGAGCTCCTCCTAATCACAACATTCCAGGTCAGCAGCAAGTGAGAATGCCACAACCAAATCCAGGAAATCCCACAGTACCACAAATGAACACAACACAAGTGATGGGAGTGCAGCAACAAAGTAACATTCCTTCCCAATCAAAGGACAGTAATATTCCACCACCACAATTTGGGCAGTATGGTAATCAACAAAACATGTTACCATCGCTAGGAGATTCGGTGAGTTAATGTTTTATTCATATTATTTTAGATAGAGATCTTGTCTTTAAAAGATGCATTACTCTCTGACTACAATGATTTCTGAATTGAATTTTGCGAGTCATTTTCAAATGAATTGAAATATCAATTACAAAATACTACTGAAAATCTTAGATTGCCTATGGATTGATGAAAATGTCAACCACTGGAAGAGTTATCATATGTAAATAGGATTTCACAAAGGGGAATTTTTAGTCCAAAAAGTGGATCATTTTCACATGAGTGTGTCTATTTTAAATGTAAAATCACTAAAAAAGATAAATGGTTATACCGTTGCAAAGTGTATTTTGAATGTTTATGAAATGAGAGAAAAAATTAAAATCAAAGCTCAGTATAGTCAGAGAGTAGCAATGCCATTTCATGGATAGTAAAAAACCAAATTTTAAGTCTTTAAAATACTACAGGAAACATGAAATAGCATGCTTTGTAGTTCTTGAATGAAGAATTTTCACAATTCACAATGAAACATATTTTGCATTTTGTACTATTGAAAGCAAACCTTGGATCATATTTGATTTTGAAAAGTGACATGGATAATTGTAATTAAACACGGTTGTGCCTTAAACTTGAAGAATAAACTTGGGAGTTGTGCAAACCTGTACACCAAAAAGCAGTAGAGTTCTCCAAGGTAATCTTAAGGAGCTTGTAAAGAGGTTTTTCAAATAATTCCATCATCCATTTGCACCATTACAATTTTCAATTAGAGGACTGTAGTTTTGCAATTCTACTAAAACTGTTTTTGTCGTAGCAAGGGGTTCCAATTCTAGCTATACTTGTATATGATCTGATCTTACTATTTGACTACTGAAGTAGACATGAGCTTGAAAATATCCTTGAAGTCTGATGGCATTGAATGGGTTAAATTAGAAGCATGATAATGGTACTCTGGACCGAGCTTTTTGAAGAATCCTTGATAGTATTGAGTAGGAGAGAGAAACTAGAAATGGTGCTGTCACTAGTATAGACAAGCTGGACATGATTGGCTTATGAGTAAATCAATAACCCTTCTATAGACTATAGCAAGGGAATGTTGTATGTTAAGACTAGTATCACTAGCTGATATAGGTTACGATGACCATTATATGAAATCTAATCAACAGCTCCAGTCCTTCAAGACAATGTTTTTATGACTTGCTAGTTAAAGACTGTAAACTATTGATTGGTATAGTGACTGGATGGCAGTATTGATTTTTAAAACTCAGTCCACAGCGCCAATGATATTAGCCTATAAAATTTATTGATATTTGATTTTTGTTTTCTAACCATAATGATGTGATATATTATACTGAATTATTGTAATCAATATCAACTAAATTATTTATAGATTTTTACATATTGAACTTTTGATATTCAATCTTCTCCATTTCCATTGGTTTTGTGAGGTTAACACGCATTCTGATAATGCTAGTTTGTTTAAGACTCATTCCTACGGCTGGTTTACCACCTACATCAGTACGCTAAAAATACCCCCGCTGCCACAATTACGCAATATATACCCAAGCGGCGCATAAACCAGTCGTTACTAAGTTACGTCACTTAACGTTATATTACTTGGCGTTCAGGATATATGATTTCATTTACACTTATTTTTCAGAGGGTTAACTAAGTTCCACCATGAAAACCTTTATTTTTTCTGGTGAGCTTATCACCAATGGAATTCTTTCTTTTATACTTAAAACTCAAATTTAACACATGCTAAGCTTATGCTAGCCTCCTTTCTTGGTGTACATGAAGTTTGTAATGGTTTAGTAGCACTAATTAAGGGAGCTGATATCTTTGTGTGGATTGGAAAGCCCCTTGTCACTGTCCAAAACATATTTCTCTGTCCAAATCTGAACACGGATATAATGTCAAGTCCCAATGTCCCAGCAAATTTCATCATATAACAGTGCCAAAGTTTTTTACATCCAAGTTTCTGCAAGGACTTGAAATTCAACTTCTTTAAAAAGAGTTTCCCTTAAAGCTATCTTGGAACAGTTTCCATTCACAATAATATAAAAAAATTCTTTCTCAAAGCTCAAGATTTAACTTCATGTAAATGGGCACATTCTGTTTTAAAGGAACACCTTTTTCACAGTCTAGTGCAGATGCAGCCATAACAGATTAAATCCAAATTTCTTTTAAAAAAAATATTTGTTTGAATAATCCCATGTATAAGGCATGACCCCAAGTGGTTCAATCTGACAATAAATAAAACTTTCTAGTTTAAGAATAGGCCTAGTTATCAAATAATACGTCATCAGAGAGTGTATTTGAAATCTATCCTGGAGAGTAAAATAATATAAATGAGGAAAAAAGTAATCAATAATAAAAATTGATATTTTACTCCGATTATGTTGATGTCAAGTTTGTCTGCTTCCAATTATTAGAGCTTACACTAGTTATATTACATAGATGTTAAGATTCATGCAGCCATTTTGGTTTTATTCTTCATATGAAATATACCCTTGTTCTCTTCCTGATCGGACTAAATCAACTTGTGTGAGGGAGGCCATTGAAATCAAATGAAGACTATGGATTTTGTTACTTTTTATGATGAATTATTTGAGGTTAGTTAAATAAATTTCAAGTTGTAGCCATTTTTCTTTTTGTGTGTGCTAGGAGGTAGAAAGAAAGCTAGTTATTGATAGGGAAAAATTTCCTGTAACTAACTTCTGGAGTCTTTTTAAACGTTACTTTGTCAGTATTTTAGTCAAGAGTCTTGATTTAAAGTCTGTATGTTTGGTTTATTTTCCATCACCCCCCAAATGACCTTGTTAAAGTTAAATTGGATATAAAAGCCATATGAACTTGACCTGTGTCAAATGGGTATCTACAAACCAACAGGTGTTAGACTTTTCTTTAAAATATCAGATGATTAAACAAAGAAATAGAGTGTATTGGTAGTACAGTATTTAGGGCAGCATATTCTTTGTCTTGCTTCACTGAGTTTAGATAAAATGTATTGTAATACTTAATTTGTGAACTTTAAGTACATTCTTCAATACTTTTACTTAGATACAAGACAGACCTTTTAAGTACTATTTTGTAGTTTTATAACTGGTTTTGTCTATGGTAGGAAATTGATGCTGTAATCTTCCAAAAGTGATATGTCTTAATTTTCCTTCAAGATGAAGAGTCAACATGAACATAAGAGTTGCTCCCCTTGTTTGGGGATTTCATTTGACTGCTCTAAATGATTGAAAAAATGATGTCAAGCTTTTTTCTCAATTCATATTTTGAATAAGTTGTCTGAATATTATTTCAGTGTCTATTATGTGTAATTTTTGTTTAATTACACTTGACAAAATGATTTTTGAAATTCTCTTTCCATGGGGATAATTGCTAGAATAAGGTTAGTGGAAATTGTGTGACTTTTATGCTCTACAGACAAAGCTTGTTAAAGAACCGCAATGATAAATAAGGAAAAGGTCCACTTTTCTCATTGAATTACTGGCATTACAGTACTTTTTCTTGCATCAACTACATTTCAATAAGATGCTCTTCCACTTCTATTTTTTGTCTGTGTATGGATATTGCTTTTGAAATGGTATTATTAGTTCAGAAAAAGGTTTTAGATTTGAACTAATGATGTGAAGTTAATGATGAATAATGATATAAAACAGACTTCCTTCCTACACAATATATTTTCTATTCCACCATTATCTGCTATCTAATTATTGACTCTTATAATAAATAACATCTATTTTTAACTTGATGAATCATTTCAGTGAAATTCGAAATGTTTTATATCAAATTTAATTTGATAATGCAAATGATTCATATGCTACATTTATTTATTAAAATATAATGTTCATATAATGCATGGTGATGTGATGACCTTGGGAAACAATTTGCTATTTTTTACTATATCAATAAACTGGTCCCGTACATTGCACAGAAAACCATACTTATTTCCAGTTTAATAAGATTTTAAGGCATAAATATTCAACAATAACATAAAACATTGGTTGTGGTTTGTACTTTAGAGCTACAAAATGGACATGGCTGGCAAATACTACCAAAACAACATGCCTTTTGTACATATTAATTTGAATATCTTTAGTTATTAATGTCCTATTTGAATTTTTAAATCCCAGTATCTCAAGTTATATTTTTACAGAGAGTTGTGACCATTCTTCAGTATAGTGGTTCAAGTAACTGTTAAAAAAAGGGATTAAGCAACCAGTTCTCTTTTTCACACTTTCACCACCAATCTTACCCCTAGCTAAACACCAGTTAGTGATTAAACCTTAGTTATAATGATCAAGTCTATTTCTTAGTTGATCTCACTCTCCATTCAAACCTTTTTCTTTGTCTGGGAATGAAGTGAGGCCAGCCAGCAGTCAGTCTTTATCATCCCCAGATACTCATTTGTTACAAAATACCATTCATACTGAGTTCACACCACAGGGCTTGTCATTTCATACAGTATAATATTGAGGTCAGATGTGTTCAACTTTCTTGTGTCTTTCTTAAATATATTATGGATTTAGCAGTTCAAATTTAAATGGATATCTTTTTCAAAATGAGTAAGATTTTAATTTTGATATTTGTTTATTTCAAAATATTTTGAATAATAGTAGTTGGATTTATCATATGATATGGTAATTCCTTTTGTTCAATGTAATGAATGCAATGTCCATGATTTGTTAATAATGTGCAATTGATATTATCTTTATATGTAGTTTAATATGATAGTATATATATTATAGACCACTCCTATTTGTGTACCAAATATTTAAGGTTAAGTAAATACTTGATGATTTATCATCAGACTTATGTATTGAAAGAAACGTAGAATTGTGTATTAGATATGGTGTCATTTATTAAAAATGTTCTAAATATGTTCTCAAAAAAGTAGATGAAATGAAGGATTTAAAAATGTCAATTTTGGTAAAGATTACTCAAGATCTGTGACTTCTTTTGTTTAATTGGATGGTTTGGAAGTTGATATTGAATGAATTTTATGGTTCAGTGAGTTTTTAAGCCATTTTGATTTTAGTGTTTATTTGTTGTGAAAGACTTGATCAGCTCATGTGAGTTCTTTGTTTAAATTTTGAACTTTTTTTTTGCGTTTGCTGGTTTTGTGCATGGTTGAAACATTTCATCAGATTTGGCTAGTTTTATGTGATCTCAAGGTTTCCTTAGATCTGTAGAAGATAAGAAGTTAGCCATATTTTCTTGAAGAAATTAATCAGTTGGTGTGGATAATAATAAAAATGGCTACCTAATAACAAAGACAGTTTGTAGTACTAATGTAATTTGACCAGATGGTTTTCTAAAGCTAACACAGTAAGAAGGTCAAACTATGGATTAGTAGTTAGGTATACAAATTTACTAATGCTGGACCAGTTTACTAATTTGGCACTGATAAAAGATATCTGAATGCTTAAGAGACATATATAATAATAATATATTTTAACTGTTAAAATAGTGCTTAAGAGACATATCACAAATAGATAGTTTACTTGTATTAATGTTTTGTTTTATCATTCTAAAAAGAATAAACATAGACAAGTCTTGAACTTTGCATGCAAATTGGAACTTTCATGAACTGTCGAATTTTTTAGTAAATATAAGTTTGTGCAAGTGTAGTGACCAAAAGTTTACAAAATACAAGTTTATATAAGTGAACTTTCCAATTGTTAAGTAAATATAAGTTTATATAAGTGAACTGTCCAATTGTTAAGTAAATATAAGTTTATATAAGTGAACTGTCCAATTGTTAAGTAAATATAAGTTTATATAAGTGAACTGTCCAATTGTTAAGTAAATATACGTTTATGCAAGTGTATTGTCCAAAAGTTCAGAAAATATAAGTTTATATAAGTGTACTGTCCATTAATTTAGATTATACCAGTTTATATAAATGAACTGTCCAAAAGTTTAAAATATAAGTTATTTAATATGTTATTAATATAAAATTATAAAATATATTTTTAATGTATCATACAGATGAAGTAGGATAGGTTATCAGTCATAGTATAGTTTAATATGTAAAGTGATATGATTAGAAAACTTATATTCTTGACAATATGGCCTCCAAACTTAAATAAATATACAAGGTCAAATATAGTTCATTGTGCCAGAATTTACACAGAAGTTTTTAACACTCCTAAAAAATGTAATCCTTGAATTCTAGCCATTTTTTGGGGAATGGCTTAAAGACTTTTTCATGTAGTTCTGTGTTCTTAATTCGCTGCTGCAAAATGATCCAGTTTTGAAAACTATATACTATCATTTAAGCTTTCTTTGTTTCATAAGTAGTCATTTTTGGAAACCTTCATTAAAAAATATGCTCGAATGCCAATGTAGAATGTTGCAGACTTTATGCTATGCGTAGCATGCCAGTCTATTTTGTTACTGATACCTCTGCAATGGTTATTATACTTTGCTAATTGACCCTTAAAACAGACAATATCTCAAAGAAAATCAATCATTTCTGTGTATAGATTAAAATTTCTAGGTAATGGTTGTTTATAATTCGCAATTTAAAAATAGTTGATGAGTTGCCAGATTTGAGTTTGATAAAAGCTTTAGATTATAAGAACATTGTTGTGTAGTGTTGTATAAAGGAATAGAGGTTGTCAGAAGATTGTAATTGTTATACTAATGTGATGGTATTGATTAGACTATAGTCTTGATTATTCTCTATTTGTTCTCTTTGTTGATTCAGTCAACCAAGATTTTATAAAGATAATTACGGTATTTGAAATTTTCATGTCCAATTGCTCTAATATGCTAATGATGTTGTCGAAATGCAATGTTTTATTCAGAGTCGAGCTTCTTACGGGACTATCGTGTGTTTTTTTCTTCCCATCTTTGGTGTTTTTAAATCGGAATAGGTTATCAGTTAAACATTTGGGTTACTTTTCAGAAAGAGGTTAATGCACATCTACAAGTTTTAACATGGTAATTTTCATTTAGTCCCTGCCTTCATTGTTTTGATGGAGTTTTGGCCAACAAAATTCTAAGAGTATATTGATAACATATGGCAACCCTTTCTTTTCTTTTATTTCAGCTTGAAACACCATCATTTGGTCCAACAATTCAGGGTTTACCAACTTCTACCTCACAACCACCATCATCTTTATCACTATCACAACAATCTTCCATCCAATCCACTCATCAAGGTTTAAATACTCCCGAAACTTGTCCACCTCTTTCACCACCATCTTTAGATCCTTATAAATTCACACCTCTTGATGCTGACCCTCCACCATTACAGAACCTGGAAATGCCTGGTCTTGTCAAATCTAATCAAAACCAAGAAAAAGCCAACAGAATAATAGCAGACGCCATAGCTAAAGCCCAGGCATCTGGTGTCACTGATTTACCTAAAGTAATGTCCCCTGAACACATACCTCCTACTGATGGGACAGAAGGCGACAGTTCCCCTGAAAAGAAACCACGAAAGAAACGAACAAAGAAAACAGAAGATGGAGTCAATGGTGAAAAGAAGGAAAAGAAGCCACGAAAACCAAGAACACCTAAAGATCCCAATGCTGCAAATACTCCCAAAGAACCAAAGAAACGTAAGAGAAAATCAAAGACTGGTGACGATACTTCAATTTTAGCAGACTCTATTGTGGGTGATGTCTCACTTCCTGTTCCAGTCATTGATGCCGCAATGGCTGACTCTACTTCTGATGTGACACAACCAGCTATAGGAGAAGAGGATTCTGTACCACCAAGTGAAAATGGAGAAATTCCAGTTCCAATACCGGTACCTGTTGTTCCCGAGCCTGAACCAGAACCTGTCTCTAGTCTTTTTACAAAACGCAAAAAGTAAGTAACAGACGGTACTTCACTGTTATATGCAGATACTAATTATTCTAGAGTAAATCTTTATTGCTGATTTGAAACGTTTATGGCATTACTTATATATCTAAAACTTCAAAACCATTAAAGTGAGTAAATTAGAATGCAAAATTATTTTAAATCGAGTATTTGTCATGGTTAGAAAAATGTTCATGTCTATCAATTTTACTTTCAGACCTCCAGCAACCTTTATGCAGAAGGGTAAAACCAAACGTAAACGTGCTGCATCGCCAGATTTATCAGATTTAGATGTCTCTCCGCAAGGTTCACCTAATAAAGAAGATGATAATACTAATGTAAGTTAACTTGAACACAATATTCTGGGATAGAATTCATGATTTTCTCAGCTTTGAAAGACGCAGTTAACCTTTTGGAAATAAACAACCCAGAGATCTTCGCAAGTTTTGGATTAATAGGTCACAGGAACATCTATACATGTTCGATTGTGTTCTTAAATTTTAATGTTTGAATTTAGAAACGTCGATCATCACGAAACACGAAAAGAAAGAAGTATATGGATGATCTAGACTTAAATCTATCAGATGATAATCATGATGTTGATATAGAGGCTGTTGATAACGCTCCTGTGGCCATGAAATCTGTAAGTATCAACCCTTTGAACACTGAGGATTAATGAATTAAAATGTCCAAGTAATTTAACTTTAAAGTGTATGATACAATGATATGTGGCTTTGTTTACAATTGTGTCTAAAGCAGCTGCCAGTGTTTAAAGGGTTAATGGAATCCCTGTATACTTATTAGTGCTTGTATCTATGAATGAATGATATTTCCAAGTTGCTCATTTTATGCTGTAATCTTACTGTAAACTTACTCATTTGATTGGAACATATTTATAATAAGAAATTAATCAAATGTCTGATGTTTCTAGGACCAGTCACCTGGAGAAGAAGTTATTGTTGTAGAGAAGATTCTGGGTTCCAGGATAAGAAAATATGACGAAGATGTAAGTAATGTAATGTAATTCTCTTATGAAATAAACACTATCAATCTGAACTTTAAAACGAAACTTATCCGAAGTAACAGTTTAGCTATACATTGTAGAAGCAAATAAACGTTGATGCCAATTGAATATACTCATATGCAGATTGGCACCAATTTTGGTATGGATAGCCATACTGAGTAGAGAACATGAAATGCCTTTGATATAAGAATATGTAAGTAGTAAAATACTATACAGTAAATGACATAATTTTGAAAATTGTTGATTTCAGGATGATGAAAAAGATAAGTCAGAGGAAGGAGAAGAAGAATTTCTGGTCAAATTTAAGAATTAGTAAGTAATACTATATAGAATATTTATATCTTGACCAGTTTTGCTTCACCTTTTGATAAAGAGTCATAAATTTAGACGATCGTGTCTCCTTGATTACTCAGAAACTTATATCCTTTTCTCTCCTTATAGCTCTCATCTACATTGTGATTGGAAGACTCAGAAAGAATTGGAAGCCAAAGACAAGAGAATTCTGGGTAAACTCAAGAGATATAGATTGAAAAAGCAACAGACAAATGTTTTTGAAATGGTAAGGCCCTATGTTCTATTTTTTTCACAAAGGCATAATGAAATGCATTGAACATGAGCATGTTTGTTCAGTCTTTCTGTTGAGAGCTCAGATTGACTGTATTTGCTAGTGCACAATCCAATCAAATCATTGCATTTACAAACTTCGTAATACAAAAAAGTCAAGGTATAAGACCAAGTACGTAATTCCTTGACATTCTGAAGATTTGTTTTGCCAGAATGTAGCTTCATGCTAAATAAAAGGAGATTATAGGATTTAAACATGAATTAGTAAGATTTCCATCTTCTAATGTTCCTACTCCATTACAGAATGATGAAGATGAATATTTCAACCCAGACTATACGGAAGTAGATAGAGTTTTAGATGAACAAATAGCTAAAGATCCAGCCACACAACAAGAAATGACATATTTCCTTATAAAATGGCGAAGTATGGCGTATGAAGATTGTACCTGGGAACTTCAGCAAGATGTAGATCCTAAGAAAGTGGAAGATTTCCGTAAATTCCGAACTCTACCATCACCAGAGGAACGAGTAGTATGTACTTTTACATTAAGGAATCATTAAGTGCATGAATAGTTTCCACTTTAAGACATTGTGCTTCCAAAGTTGATGGTTTTAATGATAGTTCCTGCAAATTTTCTGATTGAGTTTTTCCTATCAGTCATAAAATGGATGGACTTGCATCTATAGACTAGTGCCAAGTTCTTTACATGACAGAAAGGGATATACATTTATGTAAAGAGATCAGATGTTTTGAGTGGTTTATCTATGAATTTATAATCTCTCTGAAAATGTACAAAATAAATAAGTTACTCTCATTTATACTTTATTTTCCTTTCCAGCATAAAGAAAGACCAAGCCCTGATGAATGGAAACAACTACCTAAATCACGAGATTATAAAAATAACAATTCTATTCGAGAATACCAACTAGAAGGTGTTAATTGGTTAACATTCTGTTATTATAATAGGTGAGAATTCTCATTTATTCTGTCATTTCTAATTGCTGATAAAAAGCGCGATAATAAGAGTTAATGTTTATTCTGCATGATAATTATTCTCCTAACAGGAAATTGTAGAAATAGTACTCAATGCATTGATTGGCAACAGATAAACAAAAAAAAACCTTTTAAATTTTGAATAATAAATTCATGAAATGTTTTATTTTTTCAGACAAAATTGTATCCTAGCTGACGAGATGGGACTTGGTAAAACTATACAGAGTATCACATTTTTACACGAAATAGATTTATATGGTATACATGGTCCTTTCCTAGTGGTAGCTCCATTATCAACTATAGCTAACTGGCAACGTGAATTTGAAACCTGGACTGACATGAATGTAATTACCTACCATGGAACGTAAGTAGATTAATCATATGGATATATCTCCTACGGACAATTAGTCTGTCGTCTAATGAGAGATAAGAGTTTGGATTGACAAGATCCGGGATGGTTTTAAAATTTTATATTTTGAATGATTTTTTTTCTTCTTGAAATTATTTGCCTAATGGTTAACAATGGAAATTTTTATTATTATGTCTTTTTTTTCAGTGCCCCTAGTCGTAATATGATACAAGAATATGAAATATACTATAGAGACTCTGCTGTAAGTTTACCTTATTTTTTCTGAAGTGTTAGTACTTTTAGGATCTAGCAGCTTATATTCTTTATGAAGTTGGCCTATATATAGTGCTTTTATTAGTGCAATGAATTTTTTTTTTAGTTTAATTATCTCCTTGTCATAAGACCATATATCGTTTTATGGCAAGTGTCCGCTGAACTTTGATAATTATCTCTGCACATGAGCGACTGCATGACATGAATTTATACAGTTTTATAGCTTGAATGTGTATGATGCTTCATCAATCAACGCTCCATGTTGAATGAGTTCAGGTCTATCTTCCACAATCTTTTAAACAAAATGATATAAATTTGTAAATGTTATTAATTGAATTATTTCTTGCTATTGCAGGGCAATAAGATACCTGGTATATATAAAATTCATGCTTTGATAACAACATATGAAATAATTATATCAGATGTAGATTTAATCAGTAGTATCAAATGGAGATGTTTGATTATTGATGAGGCTCATAGATTAAAGAATAGGAACTGTCGTTTAATGGACGGACTTAATAAAATAGATCTGGTAAGTTGGTTTTACTTTGTTGCTCAATGAGTTTCTCGCTTACTTACTGGTATAAAATCTAAAATAGAGTAGGCTTATGCTGCTGTCCTGGCAAAATGTCCCATATTGCACACTGTGTTGCCTTTTCTTCTTTAGCCAAGGTGCAGAAAAGTAGTACATAAATCTTCATTTCATTTACTGTTATCCATGGCGGTGAAAATACATAAACAAAACGATCTTAGCGCTAGGATGTCCCAGTTTCTTAACTTCTAAGTCTATTTCTAGGATATCCTAGAGTTAAGATCTTTTCAACAATACATGGCCAGACGTGAGCATCCACTTACTGATTATTTACCTATTTATCTTACAGGAACATAGGGTATTATTAACTGGTACACCCTTACAAAATAATACTGATGAATTATTCAGTTTACTTAATTTCCTTGAACCTAAACAATTTGCCTCCTCTGAAGCTTTTGTTGGGGAATTTGGTAATCTTAAAACTGAATCACAAGTTGATCAACTGAAAGAGGTATGTTGGTTTTGATTACTCATTTAAATGGATAATATCATTGATAGTAACTCAAGGAATCAAACTGCTCTATATTTGTGTTGGTAAAGAACATGTCCAGATTTTCATTCCAAATTTCCTTTCAACTTAGACTTCATTGACAATTGTGGATGTTATTAAGATATAGTATTGCTATAAATATGATTTTAAGAACCCTCAACAGTTATGTCTGCTATATCATCTTTGGCTGAAAGCAGACGTCAATACCAACCCTCAACAGAATTGAAAATGAGTGTGCTATCCTGATGAAACTTGATGCACCTTCATTGTTATTGCTATTATTTATTTATTTATTTATTGTATTATTAATAGATTTTAAAACCAATGATGTTACGAAGGTTAAAGGAAGATGTAGAGAAAAACCTGGCACCAAAAGAAGAAACAATTGTAGAGGTTTGTGTTTTATACCATCCCAATAATTTAAGACAATTTAGTATTCATATTTGTCATGAAATAGAGTACAAAGCATTTAACAGTTCAGCAAAAAAACAAAAATTTAAAGTGTACACAAAGTAGTTTTGGAATTTGTCTTCTGCAACATTAGTAAGATGTGTTTGTGAAACTTTACATTTCAAGACAAGAATGCAAGTGGCATGGTCTATATTCTAAAAGCAATTTTTTATCCTTCCAGGTTGAATTGACAAACATACAGAAGAAATATTACCGTGCCATATTGGAAAGAAATTTTACATTCTTATCTAAAGGTGCCACAGGGTCTGCTAATGTGCCAAATTTAATGAACACAATGATGGAATTGAGAAAATGTTGTAATCATCCCTTCCTTATTAAAGGTATTATTAACTCTTATCTCATGTCATATTTATTGAGTTTTGAGAAATTTTTAGAAACAGAAGTTGCATGTGCTACCTTTAAGAACCGTGAACAGTTGGTAATGCCTGGATAAATAGTAGGCTTATGGCCATTAAAATTTCCCTAATTGCACACTGCATGACATTGCCTCTCTTCATTAGGTTGATAAATTATCAGTTACTCTCGAAGTTGACAAACCCGGTCGTGGAGTGTATGTTATGTATAAATTTTTTTCTTGTTTTTTAATCAGGTGCTGAAGATAAAATTATGGATGATATGAAAACTAAAACGCCAACCGATATCGACCCCACATTTACTGCTATGGTACAGTCCTGTGGTAAAATGGTATTAATGGATAAATTATTACCGAAATTAAAACAGGGTGGCCATAAAGTGTTAATCTTCTCTCAGATGATAAAAGTGTTGGATATATTAGAGGATTATCTTGTACATAAACAGTAAGTTATTGCCCTTGTATTAATTAATATCCCTCATTGAATTCATTGCATTATGAAAAAGAATTCATTAAGGAAAGCTTTAGAATCCTGCTGATATAGTATTAAGGAGTGAAAAGTTATGGAACATATTTGGACACTGACACTGTCAAAGTGAATTCAAGGGAGAATTGTCTACCTTTTAACCATTGTTCAGTCCTTATGTTTCTGTTATTTTGGTTTTAATTATGAATGTTTTCTTCTCAATAGTTATTTATATGAACGACTAGATGGTAGAATAAGAGGTAATATTCGACAAGAAGCCATTGATAGATTCTCCAAGAAAGGTGAGATTCTTGTCATGTTTACTTGACTATTATGTTACATTTACCTCTGTTGTAAGCTTTCTTGGCCAAATTTCCCTCATTGCACACTGCATGATATTGCTCATCGTCACAAGTTTTAACTGAAGCACAAGAGTGTAATGTTATTTATACCTAAAAAAGAGATGAGAAAACATGAAGTTCTAAAATTCCCTACTACAGGTCATAATTGTTTGTTTTTGAATTTCAGATTCTGATAGATTTGTATTTTTACTGTGTACTCGAGCTGGAGGTCTAGGTATCAATCTGACAGCAGCTGATACTTGTATTATATATGATTCAGACTGGAATCCACAGAATGACTTGCAGGTAATATACTAGACCAAACTCAGAGCATTTCAAAGTTGTTAATAGAGCATTGGAGTGATACGGTAGGTTGTCGTCTACCACATGATTAAGTTGTAGTTTGAATCCTAAAGCATGATAATTATGCAATGGCCAGTGCTTTTGGTAATCAATCTGGTGTTTTAATTTACCTAATCCCTCACCTCAAAAAGCTGCCAGAATAATCTTTGCCAGCATAGAGCCAGTTGTCAAGTCTGACTGCCATATCTTCATGCAACATTTATGGAAATTTCAGGCACAAGCTAGATGTCATCGTATTGGACAACAGAAAGCAGTGAAGATTTATAGACTGGTTACCAGGAACTCATATGAAAGAGAGATGTTTGATAGAGCTTCAATGAAACTAGGCTTAGATAAAGCTGTTTTACAGTCTCTTGGTGGAGAAAAACCTGGTACCAATCAGGTAAGCTTTGGTGATTTGTAATCATTTGATTTGTTTTAACTCAGTTATTTAAGTCAAAGTGCAGTTGCTAAGGAAGTGATATGGAGCAGTAGAACTTCTTAATAAGTATGAGATTAAGATTCTATGCAGTGAGGCAGGAGCTTTTCACAAATGGTATTAGAAATATGTGCCAAATCTTAAAAAATATATGCGAATTTTCAGCCATCCCAACTATCAAAGAAAGAGGTTGAAGAGTTATTAAAGAAAGGTGCGTATGGTGCATTAATGGATGACGATACAGCAGGTGATGATTTCTGTGAAGAAGATATTGATCAGATTTTAAAACGTCGTACACAAGTTATACAAATAGAATCAGAGGGAAAAGGCTCCACATTTGCCAAGGTAGGTTAAGTTTGTATTTTTTGTTGTGGTGCATATTGGATTAATTTCCGTGTGATGTTTCAATGGTTATTGTTTGTGGGAATAATTGTTATGGTTGATATCATATGAAACTTGAACTCTATATATTTGTTCCTTTCTGTTGTAGGCTAGTTTCAGTTTATCAACCAACAGAACTGATATAGATATTAATGATCCGGAATTCTGGCAGAAGTGGGCCAAGAAAGCTGATATTGATGTGGATGAGATTCAGAACAGGGTAAGCTTGGATTAAAACTTTAAATTCTTTCGCTTTTATCGCGAGGGATTAACAATTTTACAATCAACAAAATATTTTGTTTCGAGAAAGGCCCTTGATGCCTTGTCTCTTGTGTTCCTGTGACAATTGAAAATTGGAAAATTTGGACCTAACAAATGGAAAGTTCTTCATTTTATTTTCCTTGCTTGTAGAATGAATTGATAATTGATCTACCAAGACGAAGAAAACAAACAACACGATTTGGTAATGATGATACAGTTGTTGATATGAGCGAACTAGAATCTTCTAGTGATAGTGATGAAGAAGGCAAGGCAACATCCTCCTCAAAACGTAAATCCAAACGTAAATCACGAAAAGATGATGATGAAGATTTTAATGATGAATACACTGGTGATGGTTATTGTCGTTCTGAATGCTTCAAAGTGGAGAAATCAATGATGGTTTATGGGTAAGTTTTGATTGATGATGTACTAAATTTCACTTAAGGTTAGAGTTCATTGCCAATCCATACGGAAACCCTAATAGTTTAAACAGGAAGTGACATTTACTGTAGAAAACTTTTCTTGAAGAACTTTCTGCTTTTATCTCCTTGACAAAATATAAATGAATGTTCACATTTTCTATATTTTACAGTTGGGGAAGATGGGGTGATATATTGAATCATGTAAGATTTAAAAGACGTCTGGATGAAAAAGATATTGAGACCATAGCTCGAGGAATTGTAAGTGTTCTTGTCTACATATTAGAAATGTTTCTAATCGGGAAGTAAAATACATGTAGGCTGCACATAACAAGCCATAGACTTTTGGTACTGTATATACTGAAATAGATGTTAATGTTGCATTATGGAATTACGCTTAAACCAGAGCATTTCGGCCATGTTTTATTCATTAATGTCCTTCAAGGCATCCTAAAACAGGACGGTAAGGGCAAGCAACTCTATTTGACTACAGAAGGGAGTAATCCAGACAACAATATGACAACTTGTCTTTCCAATTTCAGCTGGTGTGTTGTTTATCAACCTATAAAGGTGATGATAAAATTAAAAGTTTTATATTAGATTTAGTGTCACCCAACAGTAACGCTGTTCTTAAAAATCATAAAGGTATGTACCCCTTTCGCGTGTTAATTGTTTTCAATTTCCCTCATTGCACACTGCATGATGTTGTCTGTCTTCATTGGCCCACTTGGTGCAGAAAAGTAGAACGTAAAATTCCATTTCATTTCATTTTTTCTGGTCTCTATGTAATTCATCATTATTGGTGAACTTTTTCAGGTTTATCGGCGCCAGTACCACGTGGAAGAAAGAGTAATAAAAAAAGAGATCCTAATATACCAGAACCTGTGGAACCAGAATCAGAAAAATTTAACATAGATCTTAACCCTGCTTCCGTCCTTGATCCAGCTTATACACGTCATTTAGACAGACATTCTAACAAGTAGGTTATATCTTATACACGTCATTTAGACAGACATTGTAACAAGTAGGTTATATCTTATACACGTCATTTAGACAGACATTCTAACAAGTAGGTTATATCTTATACACATCAGTTAGACAGACATTGTAACAAGAAGGTTATATCTTATACACGTCATTTAGACAGACATTGTAACAAGTAGGATATATCTTATACACGTCATTTAGACAGACATTGTAACAAGTAGGTTATATCTTATACACGTCATTTAGACAGACATTGTAACAAGTAGGTTATATCTTATACACATCATTTAGACAGACATTGTAACAAGAAGGTTATATCTTATACACGTCATTTAGACAGACATTGTAACAAGTAGGTTATATCTTATACACATCATTTAGACAGACATTGTAACAAGAAGGTTATATCTTATACACGTCATTTAGACAGACATTGTAACAAGTAGGTTATATCTTATACACGTCATTTAGACAGACATTGTAACAAGAAGGTTATATCTTATACACGTCATTTAGACAGACATTGTAACAAGTAGGATATATCTTATACACGTCATTTAGACTGACATTCTAACAAGTAGGTTATATCTTATACACGTCATTTAGACAGACATTGTAACAAGAAGGTTATATCTTATACACGTCATTTAGACAGACATTGTAACAAGTAGGATATATCTTATACACGTCATTTAGACTGACATTCTAACAAGTAGGTTATATCTTATACACGTCATTTAGACATTCTTAGGTCTATCTTAAAACAATACTTAATATATTTTCAGAGTTTTATTACGGGTTCGTCTTCTCTACTACCTCAAACAAGAAATTGTTGGTGAAGAAGCACATAAGGTCTTCCAAGGAGCAAATATCAAGTAAGTCTTTTCAATATATATATTTCCATGGAAACCTGATAGGATAGAATTCACCCTTTCAAGACATTAAAACTGTAAGAAACAGTATAGCAATGGATCTCTGTTGATCTCTGATGATGCTAATTGAATATTACATGTATTTTCAGGGATATTAACATTCCTAAACCATCAGCTGATCGTGATACACCTACATTCTGGTGGGATGAGCTAGCTGATAGATCTCTTATTGTAGGAGTCTTTAAACATGGTAAGTTTTTCATATGTTAATGTTTCGTTGGTTGGTCATCTTTTCGATGAATTTGTTATAATTGAAATAAGCTTAAGTATTGACAGCGTACTAGATAATGTAGTCTATGGGTGTCTTCATGACCAGTCTTTAACTCGACTTTGGAATATTAAGTTAAGAGCGTTCCTACCTGGTTTTAGGAACTTACTATACCAGTACAGACGAAAGATTTAAAGATATAGAATAGTTTATGATGGTCTTCATTCTTTTAGGTTATGAAAAGTTTAACCAGATACGTTCTGATCCAACATTAGTATTTCTATCAAGATGTGGTCCACCAGATGGCGCAGCTTTACTTCGTGAACAAAACGAGGAAAATGATGACAAGTGAGTAAAACTATTGGATTCAAGTTTTCAATTTTGCAGTTGGCAAAAAGGGCATCTCATTTGAGTTCGTTATGTATTAACGCCATGGTTCTAGAAAAGAGTAGCTTTAGCCTTGACCCTTTGAGCCCATGTACCAGATTAAAACACTGATGCACCCAAGTATTCTAATGATGATTAGCCATGCTAATACTGAGAATATTTAGTCTGGATGTGCTGGACTAAATATACCATGAGTACAAGCTCTTTCTCAATGAACCACTGAAGAATACACTATTTTGACCTCCATTGACAAAAGAGTTTGTACCAAAGTTTTCTAGCATTCATTTTTTTTTTTTTCAGGAATGATGATGATGATTTTGATGATGATGAAGCTTCCATGACGTCTGCTCCTGAATCGAAGAAATCCACAAATCCTTCCAAATCAGAAGGTAAGAATCAATTCAACTATTAATTTTATGGACATGGTGATTCAGACCAGCCCAAATTATCTACTTTCAGTTTGCTATGATGATTATTTAGTTCTGTCAATCCAATGAAATAGGATGATTTCAAACCTTAAGATAATCTGAGCCTACAGTAAGAGATAGCAGGGTAGTTGTAATTAGGAAGAGGGGTTCTTAGAGTTTGTTTTGGGAGGAATCCCCCTCTCAGAAACATATATTAAAAGAGATTGTAAAGAGATTTTATGAATACTATTTATGTGTATCAGGGACACTGTAAGCATTGATTTGCACCATTCAATTATCAGTCAGTAGTCTGTGGTTCTTGCAATTCCAATAAAATAATCATTCTATGACGTCACTATCACAAAATCTGCTAATAGTCTGTTTTAAATTTCTGAGTAAAATTAAATAGAATTCTTCCGAAAATTTGATGTAAATAATAAGTGATATTTTCTTTTCTAGATAATGGGGATAAATTACCATTCCCAGATAAATCTGAATTGAACTCGAGGTTACGTAGATTAATTACATGTTATCAACGTGGAAATAAAAAACGTATCATGGAGATGGAGATGCAACAACGAGTAAGTTGGTTATTGATCTTGTGGGATGAAAGTTTGCCAGGCTAGCTGAGATTTGATTAAGGAGAACATTTGAATTTACAATCATATCCTGAATTTTAACTGTTCTTCCAAGGGAGACTACTCTCAATATAGACTTTATAGTTTAAGACCACAATATTACAATGACTGTCAGAACATATCGTAAGAAAAAATTCAGACTTGAAGGACCAAGAAAGTTTGTCCATTTATGTATATATATGCCTAAAGTACAAGCATTTATGTTGCCGTTAATTTAAATATGGAATATATTTTTTATCTTATTTTGTAGAAATTAGAAAAGCGTGGCAGAAGCGATCTGGCTATGAAAGAAAGAGAATATCGCAGAAGAGAATCTTTACAGAAGTAAGTTGTTTTTTTTTTGTCAATTTTAATACTCTAGCAAATATAGGGTGACTTTTTGATGCCAGAATTAGGACTTTTAATCAAGTTCTACAAATCGTTTTTTAACCACAGGGACATTTGAGCTTTTCAGAATATTTTGCTATGAAAAATAAATTATCAGACTACAATATAAACAATATCTCATTTGAGATGCATTTGTTTCCATGCTGAAATCCACTGCTGTATTCATTTAATCAAAAAATTATATTGTATTTAATCATGATATCATTTTAGTCGTTGGTCAAGAAGAGAAGAAGCTGATTTCTATAAAACTGCCTCATCATTTGGTGTAGAGATTGACAGGAAGACTGGAAGATTTATTTGGGATAAATTTAGAAGTTTGGCTAAATTAGATAAGAAGTTTGATGATACACTCACAGAATACTTTCAGGGATTTTATTTCATGTGCCAAAAAGTTTGTGGAAAGCTGGGAAAAGAGAGTGAGTATCTTTGAATTTCAAAATGCCAATTATTTATGGCCAATACAATCAAATGTTACTGCATGGAAACTTTTCTCTTATCTTGACAGAATGGTTGGTGCCTGTGTGCCGTGAGTTAGGCTGTTTGCCTTCTGCGCGGTAGATAGCATAGTGATTGTTTTGAAGGTTAAGGTTTATGGTTCTTACCACATGATTAAACCATATCTGTAATGAATATAAGTGGATTGTGCTGGTTCAGGATTTATTGCACATTGATTTTTCTCTTTTTCATGAGTCCAATAAGGTTTAGAAATACTAATTCCATCTTCAATTTCAGTCAAAGCTCCACCAAATACCATGTATGTTGAACCGATCACAGAAGAACGTGCTGCTAGATGTCTAGCACGAATTGATATTATCAATAAGATACGGGAAGAAATGTTATACCATCCAAAATTAGACGAACATATCCAATTATGTCAGCCATCTTTTGATATGCCAAGATGGTGGATCTGTGGTAAACATGATAAAGAATTGTTAATAGGAGCAGCCAGGTAAGACAAAAGCTGAAATCTAAAGTGTAACTTGCATCAGATTTTCTGAAGGGTAATTCTGCCTTTGACTGTGTTTCCAAGCCATTTGACTTAAGCTGAGGAACACCTGTTGACTTAAGAAATTAAGAAACTTGCAAAGGAAATGCCACTACATATTCAAGTGAAATAAAATTAAGCAGTTTTATATATTCCTGACTATTTTGATTTTACAGACATGGTGTGGCCAGAACTGATTATCATATCTTACGAGATCCAACATTATCATTTCATGAAGTATTTACTAAAGCTACAGCTCGTGGTAATAATTCACCTTTTAGTCATCTAAATCCTAATGGTACCCCAGGTACACCTAGCACTCCAAGAGGTTAGTATTTTATTATCATTATTAAAACCAAACCAATTTATAAATGGGACCTTATTTCACTTTATCCAAATAGTTTTGTATGAGGCAGTGGAATTTAACCAATCAAAATGACCTTTCTCAGAACAGAAGTGTATTGTGCTTGTGTTCGTATTTTCAAAACAAAATGAAAAATGGTTGAATATAAGCATGTTGATTGGCTGGTTTGAGAATCACAAGACAAACCTTGATAACATAAAACTGATGTATTGGCAATCATTTCCAGATGTCTTAAAATTTGAACTTAATTTTCCATTTCTTAATGATCTGTATTTCCTTCCAGGTGAAACTCCAAATCTACTTAAAGAAGAACTGGAAAATGAGACTCCATCCAAGAAGAGTGTAAAATCAGAAAGTTCGCAGGATGTTAAAGAGGAAAAAGATCCCTCCATTAAAAAGGAATCTCCTGTGAAAATGGAGACAAATGAGGATGAAGAAGGCTCTGATAAGGAAGAGGTGAGAGATAGTGACTCTCTAAAAAAGACAAGTGACTCGCCTTTGAAGAGTGACTCACCAACTAAGGATAAAAGTGACTCACCAACTAAGGATAAAAGTGACTCTCCAAATAAGGATAGAAGTGACTCGCCACACAAGGATGCAAGTGACTCGCCACACAAGGATGCGAGTGACTTGCCAAATAAGGATGCGAGTGACTTGCCAAATAAGGATGCGAGTGACTTATCAAATAAGGATGAGATTGACTTGCCAAATAAGGATGAGAGTGACTCACCAAATAAGGACAAGATTGACTCTCCACACAAAGATACAAGTGAATCGCCAATAAAAAGCGAAGTAGAAACAGAACTCAAAAAGGAGAGTGACTCTCCTATCAAAAGTGAAAAACCTGAAGTCGATGACTCAAAACCCACAAATAGTGAGGTCAAAGAGGAAGTAACTGTAAATGGTGATACAAGTGATAATGAATGTGATAAGGGTGAAGGGAAAGAAAGTGGCTCTTTGAAAGAAGAAAAGATTAAAGTAGAAAAGGACATTGTGAAAACAGAAAATGAAACAGAAGCCATGGATACCACAGAGAGTAAAGATAGTAAAGATTTTGTGAAGATAAAAGAAAAGAAGGAAGAGGTAGAAGAAGATGAATTAATAAAACGCGAATTACGTTCCGTCACAACGCCAAGACAGGTACTTAATGAAATATTTTCTGTTTTAGGTTGGCTCTGGGTTTGTTGTTGGTACAGGCTGATGTTTGCTAATTGGGTGCTTTGAATCCCATAAAGTATGAAAAGCCAATTATTTTGGACATGCTTTACGCCAATGAACTAGAAGCATCAAGCAGATGTGATTACAAATTTAACTTCTGTTCAGATTGATACTTTTTTGTAAATTTGGATTATTATCATTAATTCTATCTGTAACTATGTATATATTTATTTTAGTTCCCTGGAATGTATAATGAAGATTATTTAGAAATGGAAGGTTTAGAACCTGGTGAGATAACTGGCAGCAAATCATTCTTCAATCCACAGTTAGAATGGCCAAAGGTATGTATTCATATTCAATTTCTAGATTAACGTTATGGAACATTGATACTATTGCACTTGCCTTGGACCTGGTTCATGATGAATTATAATTGAACACAAATGTTCAATGAATTTATTTTATGATTTTGCTGTTTTAGGATCGTGTAATCTTCCATAGATTAGAACACATCTGTTATACTGTGGAGAAAGGAGAATGGCCATTTTCTAAGAAAGGATTTCCATCTGCTGCCTTTGATTCACGCAGTACAACTCCAGTAGGTTCCTCAACTCCGAAAGGTGACACACCTCATGGTGATTCAGATATTGAACCAACATTTGAAGGAATACAGGTGATGATTGGAGAATCTCCCAAAGATTTGGAGGCTCACATGTCTGAGGTAGGGTATCGTGTTACAAGGGTTCTGGCGTCATCCATCATTCATTATCATATCATTATCATTGGCTGCTTTTATCATTATCTTTATCAATTATCATTTGGTTTAGTGTCTTTGTGTGTCCTCTTTCAAAATTCAGCATGGCTTAAAATTGCTGTCTGCATGTTGTAATGGTATCAACTGTAAATTTTCAGAAATATGTTGTTTTTGTGAATTGTAAACTCTCAAAATTTCTGACCCATCCCTTGGAACTACACCCTATTTTATGGTTTGTTGAGTGTCTTTTCTTTATCATTTTTCATTATGAAATACATTTTTCATTCATTGCTTTTTGTTATAATATTAAATGTCAATAACTTTTATTGTGTGACCAGTTTGAATTATTGTGATTCGGTCATTTATTTCAAATCTTTGTTTGATGTGTAGATTTCCTATTTTAATGCTTTATTTACCATGACAATAGGGTGAAGGATTACGTATGAAAATCCAGAAAAGATCGGCTAAATCTAGTAGTGGTAGAAGAAGTAAATATGATATTGATTCTGATAGAGGTAATTTATAGTTAACTTTTCTGTTTGTGTAAAATTCAGGGACTTATAACCACCGTTATGGTTTCTAGAGAGAGATCTGCTTTCTTTTTACTGATATTGCACTGTGTGCATCTTATCACAGATTATCAATAATATTGTGAAAATCGTGTACCTGTTGGAAAGTTTCTTAAAATCTTAAGCATAATATTGTTATTTTTTGTAGCATCAAGAGTACAACAGTTACTAAATCAAAGTCACAATCCACCTAGCGGAGCATCTAGTGATAATGAAAGTCTAACAGAAGCCATGAGCATGTCAGGAATGAGTGTAAGCGTTCTTTTTGTTCAGAAAGGAAAATAAACAGATTCCCTAAATGCTACAGGCTGTACAAGTAAAAGATCTCTTTACATTTGAAATCGTAGGCTACATCCTGGCAACATTTCCCTCATTGAACACTGCAAAAGTTGCCTGTTTTAATTAGCCCAATTCATTTCAAGTCATGTACAGTGTGTGAGGTAATGATTGAGGTAATTAAACTGAATTCATCTTAAAGAATTTTAACATGTGTACATTTTATTTCTATTGTAGATGAGCGCTGAAGGATTTTTGAATGGACATTCAGAATTAGATGCTACACTTTTACGAAATAGTCTGGTAAGTTTAAATTTTCCACATACAGCTGGGTCAACTTGAATAATGAGGAAGGAATAGATGACTGATTTAAGGCCACCAAATTTTGACACACTGATTTAGATTAGTAACCAGGCATATGACTCCATGTAAAGATTCCAATGCATAAACTGACTGTTACTTGTTTTTTAAATGTGATATTGTATGGTTAAATGATATTACAGATTGAGCAAGGTTTGTTACCAGAAAGAAGAAAAAGAGGAAGAAAGAAGAAAGCAGAGAAAATGGCTGAATTAGCTATGGCTGAAGCTTTAGCTAAACGCCATCATGCAAGAATGAGTGCCAATTTAGATCCAGGTACATACTGTTTAAATTTGACTCTTTGAGTAGGCAGTGGATGCAAGGTTTTAAACATCTTGTGGTTAGACAAGGCTGAGAAGTAGCAGTTATGATTGGTTCATGATTGTATTAAATTTTTCTCAAGGCACCAACAAAATGTGATGTCTCATTTCATGCTCAAACACAGAAAAAGAAATTATTCTCAATTTTGAAGTACTTATATTCCAGAACTTCGAATACCAGTTATCAATATTGAAGATGGTACCAGACTATCAGGGGATGAGGCACCAAAGAAGAAACATCTGGAGGAATGGTTAATAGACCATCCTGGATTTGTTGTAGAACAACCAGATTTAGCGCTCTATGGACAGGAGGAAGAAGAAAGACGAATGACAGAGCAGGAACTTAGTATGGTATGTCTGATATTAATTCTTCAATAATACTCTTTGATCTGGCTAATTAACGAAGATTATCTCTATTAATTAATATTAATTACTAATTACTTACTGGCTTTGTATCAAAAATTTCTTTGAAATAAAAAACTTGGTCTAGACTTCATAACTTTGGGTTCTGAAAAACACGCAAAAAAAGCTTGGTTGGTGAATATTTGTCAATAAACATACAAAATTCTAAATTTTGGATATGGTACAAAGTTATGATGTTTTCTAAACTTTCTCTGTTCTGACGAGCTTTTTTCAATAACTAAAATGGATTTGTAAATCAGGAATATACCCCATATACTGTTTGGTGCATGGTGTACTATATTAGCATGACCACATAATAATTTCATTTTATTTGTCATTTTGCTTACTGATGTATAGGTAAGTATGAGAAGTCCCTGCCTTCAAATACTGTAATCAAATAACTTCTTGGTATAGGTGTAACTATGTAATCTTTATTCAATGCTTTATGCTACCCTTTGGAAGCTTTGGGTACAGTTTTGAGGACATTTTAGATCAAAGACTTTTTGGAGTATTTAGGAAGAAGCTCTTATGAAAAATTAAGTCAAAACGAGAAGTACACAAACAGTTTTAAAGACTGAAAATGTCCTCAGAAATAAAGCTATGCATGTTTTCTGGCTTATGTCCATTCCATTGTGTATGACAAATTTCAGGAGAAATTAAAAATGCTTGAATTGCTGAAAGCTGGCAAGCGTCGGCCTAAACTTGACCCTCGATTAATGGATGCATCACACGTAACCGGGGAAGAAAATATAACAGTAGTAGAAAGAGAAAGTGGCAAAAAGGTATGAAAGACACCTGATGGAGAAAAAAGGCGGGAAATTGATAGCTATGAACCAAAAGTCTTTTCTTACAATTCTTGTGTGTCTATTTTCGTGTTTTCTTTTCTTTTTTATCTATCAAAATGTGTGTCATTAATATTTGCTTTTGGGTGCTTTTAATCATTTCATCTCATTCTCATGCCATCAAATCATATCTATTTATAACCTTTTACTACTGCATGTTTCAATGATGCATGTAACTTCAGAAGTCAACTTTGATATATATTATAACTGACAGATGCTTCACAATATACTGTAAATTTCTGTGTATAGTGCTCAGTTTTTGTCACCTAAAAAGGGCTTGCCAAAACTGAG